GACTGTATAACAATGAAAGAACTTTTTTCCCAAAAGGAAAAAGGGAGGGGTGGGCGCCAGGGCGGGAAGCAGGGAGGAAAATGTGCAACAATGAATGGATGGAAATCTAGGTTCTTTATAAACTGACAATAAAATCCTGAAAAAATAAAAAAAAGAAAAAGAAGTACCATGCCCTAAGACTGGATGTGAGGAACTTTTCCTGGGGCTCTGAATGTTGTACTCACAAAACAAGGATTATTGATGTTGTTTACAGTGCCTCCAATAATGAGCTGGTTTGAACCAAGACCCTAGTGAAGAACTGCATCGTGCTCATTAGCACACTGTACCACCAGTGGTACAAAGTCCCACTTATGTACTACCCGTGGCTCACAGGAAGGGAGCTAAGCTGACTCCTGAGGAGGAAGAGATTTTAAACAAAAAGCGATCAAAGAAAATTCAGAAGGAAAAGAAACGATGAAAAAGAGTGCAAAAATCAGCAGTCTTTTAGAGGAACAGTTCCAACAGGGCAAGTTTCTTGCATGTATGGCTTCCAGGCCAGGTCAGTGTGGCTGCACAGATGGCTGTGTGCTAAAGGGCAAGGAGCTGGAATTCTATCTGAGGAAAATCAAGGCACAGAAAGGCAAATAAATCTCCTCCCTCCCATTTTAGCATATGTATTAAAGGTGTTTATTCTATTGTTCTTGTTTATTCTATTTCTCTTGTTTATTTTTCCTTAATATTTGCCTTATTTATTGGGTGCTGAACAAAAGGAGACCTCTGGTGGTCTAGTAGGGAGTATAGGGAGCTGTGCTGCAAACCATGAAAAGTAGACGGATCAAATAGAGCTCAAATCCAGCGGCTCTGCAGAAAATAAGCACCTCAGCCTGGACATGGGCTTTGATAATGGGTACTTCACACTACAGTGCTATATTGGCCCTAGTTTGCTCTCCGTGAATACCAGGCTTCTGTAGGCTGTGTCTTCTTGAAATTAAAGGACATTTCTCACCCCAAAGACGTGCTTTAATGAGAATAGAGGAATCGTTAGAGGCTGTGTGAAGGCTGAGACTTCCCAGTATTGGCTGGAGAGGCTCACAAAGTATTCAGTTAAACTAGATTTTACATGGACTTAAAAAAAAAAAGTGAAATAGGGTCCTACTTTTATAAAGCAAAAACTCTCATGTATATGTACATCTGAAAAATATTGACAGACATGTTCCAGGCTATAACCTTCGATTTGCATGAAGAGCCAAGCCAGAAAAAGAAAAGCACACGATGATTACATTTATGCAGTTCCATAACATTATAGAAATTGTTATGCAGGCAGTCCCTAAGCACACTCAGTAGTTATGAACCAAACCCCATAAAACCTTTCCTATTAAAAATTCAAGGACTATAAAGTGGCTCGTAATACAAATGGAAACTATGAAATGCATACGAAAACATTTCATCCTTACTGAATTAAATATAATTTAGTGTATCTAGAATTGGGGTTTGTATGTAAAATGGTACACAAGCACAGAAATTTGACTGTTAGGATGACTTAATGTACCAATTCAACTTAAAGACAAATTTGGGAACTGAAATAATTTATAATCTGGGGACTGCAGGCTTAGCTCTTTTTAGAAAGGAAAAAAATAAAGTTAAAAGGACTAAAACATGTTTAATTTCACATTTTTATGTTTTGCTTTTAAACATTTGTCAAATTGTTACTTTGACATAGCTCCTGGTTCTAAATGCAAATATGTAAGTTTGTGTGTTTAGTCTCACATATAATTTTTTTTAAATGTATCAAAACTATGATAAATTCCTTGTTTATTTTTGTTTTAAGTTAGAAGCAGGTTATGTAACCCACTAAGACAACTTTTACTGATTTTAGAAAAGATCTTGAGCAATATGAAAACAGATGTTGGCATCTGGAGTTGTGATTTTTATGCAGAACTTGCTCTTTTTTGTTTTTTTAGTCATGGGGAAATCTAATAATAGAAGCCATTGATTTATCTGACAGAGAAATTATTTTAAAAAATCAGGGCAAATTTTTTTGGTGGTCAGTTAATGGACCAAATTAATGTTCTATTTAACATCTTCTAGTTACTGACTTAGAACACTTGGAGTGTGTTAATATTTAAATACAATTTTATTCCTATATTTAGAAACCAAAATATGGATACGTCTTGTTACATTTATTTATCCACAGAGTATTTCTTGTTCATAATATAACTTATTTACCACATAATCATAACTACTTATTTTATCAAATTTCAGTATTTATAATTCTTTTTATAAAGCAAAAAACCCCTTCATTCTCATTTATAATGTAATTAGGTTATGCATGAATCCAAGAGTGTATTCTTGCTTTTGTGTTGGAATTGTCTATTAAAGTCTTATTCAGCAATAAATTGTGGGATTTTGTTTGGTTTTAACTATGCTTCTATAAAGATTTCAAGGGAACTCATTATATTTTAATTTCTATTTTAAAATTAAATATATCTAACGTTGATAATCAAGGCCTAAATGAAATTCCTTTCCTACAAAAAGAATGAATAAACCTTTATTTTCTGTGTCGTTTTATAGTCTCCATGTAAATAACCATTTTAATTGTACATTAGTGTATACATTCCTTTATAGATTGCTATCCATTGCCTTAAAGGCAATTCCAACCCACAGTGACCCTACATAAAAGAGTAGACTGCCCTCTGAGGTTTCCAAACAGGAATCTATTCTGAAGCTGCCAGTCTTCCTTCAGGTGGGCTTCTCTGCTAACCTTTTGGTTAGTAACCAGGTGTTAAACCATGGTACCACCAGGGTTCCCCAAGGGCTAGTAATAGTTACAGTGTACTAGTATCTAGTTATAGGGTAATAAAACTTGGCCTCTGTTTAAGAATGTCTCATAGGACACTATGTTAAACCAAAGAAAGAATTTACTCATTTTGAAATGGATTTGTTATGATGTTTTAAATATATTTCAGTTATGAATATTAATTTGATTTTACTTTCTTAGCAATAGATTTTACTGAAAACAAAGCAGCCTGCATAGACTACAAAATACTAAACTTTTACTAGAGATTACAAAGTATGAAATAGATTAAAACCTAATAATATGATGTTTTGTCTTGTCTGTGGCACATTTGTGCAGCTTATTATTTAAGGTTATAGTCAGTACATCTGTGACTGTTTTTAGGTACTTGCAAGAGCTGAAACACACTCTTTACTAATTATAGCATGGAATCTAATATGCACATCTACGTAATTATGGTGTTTATGAAAATATATTAAATTGCAATTTAGTTCACTGAGTATAGTCCATATTTCTCAACCTTCTGACTTTTAAAAGAGAACTTGATTCATTTAATAAATTTCAAAAGTCATTTTGGTACCTATGAAATAGATCCTCTAATTACTCTTTACTCCTTTCAGAGGAAATGGATGTAGAAGCTCGACTTACTGAACTATGTGAAGAAGTTAAGGTACTTGGATTTTCAAAATTCACATTATTAAATGATTTAAGTAGTTTCTGTTTCTTATTCACAATATTTTATCTAAGAAATGTGAATTTAAATTAACTACCTTTTTCTTAACTTGCAGAGATAAAATAGTTGATCATAGAATCACAGTTGAGTTGATCAAAAACATTTAACTGTATTATGAAATTAACTTATTTTAAAATGTGTAGTCTATGTATAAATGAAAGAGGAAAGACAATTAGCTAATAAAACATTTTCCTTTTTTCTGTACATTGAGAGGATTCTGTGCAAATTTTAAAACATCAATTAAATTTAAATACTTTTCCAAAATGACTGTTTAGAAATTAAAAGTTTACATATTTCATAATTATTTATTTCACTGCTTTTCTAGTTCTTCTCCAGTTAAATTGAGTTTATTTTTGCATTTTTGCCAAGGAACTAAATGTTTTACATGTTTGGAATCACTGTGTAATTTCATTTGTAGTCAGCTATGTTAATGGGATAAATTAGAGTCATCAGTTAAATAAGAATACATACTTCAAGTTAAAATGTATTTCTGCATATTAATTTGAATGTGGACCCAGATCCCTTAAAAATCTAAAACATCATTTATCTTTCCCTCAGATAGTTATGTATGTCCATGATAATAATACATCTCAGAACTGAGTTTATGATAAAATATCACAAACCATCAAGTGCATAAAAGGTTTTGATAAAAAAAAATAAAAATAAAATTTAAAAAAAGGTTTTGATAAATTAACCCTTCAGACCATGTTTTGTGCAGAAACAACTCTAAAAGGATTATTCCATGTCCAGAAGATTTTTCTAAAATTTATTTAAATTGTGATTTTAATGAAGTTTACAGAAAAGTAAACTTTTCCAAAAGATATTTTAAGAAGAAAAAAGTTACATACAAAAATCTATTTTGTGACATGAAGTTACTTTTTTCCGACTAATAGTAATGGATAAAATATTGATAATTTAAATTTTTTTATAGCAGAGTGCGGTATATATATTTAAAGTTGAAAGCAATGTAATGGAATAATATATTTGCATCATTTAAACTAGTTAAAAGATTATTTACCATACACTATAAAAAGAATTCTTGTAACCCAGCTTCAAAGCAATACTTTAGTGAATTAGTTATTGAAATGATGCTTGCTGAAAATGAGAAGAATACAGGCTTAAACAATAACATTTCTTTTTCATGAAACTTGGAAAAATTGAAAGGACTCCATTGTTAAAGACACAGGGAAACAAATTTCTTTTTTCTTTTTTTAAAAAATTTTTAATATCAGACGTCTCACTGTAACTCTAGAGCTTATTGATTGATGCACATCAGCTGTGGATTCAGCTAATACATGCCATCACATCACTGACCAACAAGTATCTTTGTATAATATTGGTGATGGTATAACTTGGTACAACCTTTTTTGGAAGTTATTTCAACAGAGGTAACTTTAAAATTCTGAAATATACATTCCTTCTTCCACGGCAGTTTTTATTTAGATAATTATTGTAAGAAGTAAAGTGCTTATACATGTGCAGGTATAAAGGATTGTGGCATTGTTAAAAACTCCCTTCTAATCATTTAAAATAATTAGGTGAATCTCCCTATGCTGGTATGGATTATTTAATTCAAGAAATGTTTATTGATCCATGATAATATGTACCTTTTTTCATCCTCTTCAAGATACAGTAATTTAAAAAAATTAATTAAAGAAAAATGTGAATAAGTTAATTATATAAAAGAGAAAAAACCCTCTCTGCTTTTTTGATTGGGTTTATTATGTGGTTATGTATAATATATTGGTAAGAACATATACATTAAACATATATTTTTTGTTGCTGAACATAGACTATCATGAAGGTTGAAGCTAAAAGAGTGAGGTTTTTATATTTGTAGATAGATAGATATACACCCAAAAATGTGTAGTAACACAAATATTTTTGTGTTTTACTAGTAAATTATTCTATGTATAGTTTAATTTCAGTATATAAGTGAATATTATAATGTTTAATGCAACAACCTAGAACAAATTCTTTTCAATAGCTAGGCAGACGTTAAGTCTTTAAAGTGCTTTTGCAAATCTTGTAACTCCTAATTTTTCATACCAAAATATGGCAAACATGAAAAAAATTTGTCCTAATAAATGGCATTGAAACTAACATTTATGTATAATTCTGTTACCATTGTTAATGTATCAAACCGACTATGATAGTCTAATAATATGATTATAGAGACACATCTCTATACAATTCTCTATAGAATACAAAATGTGCTGTTATTTGTAAATTTTATTTAGAAATTAGCTTGGCCATATTTATCTAACACATGAAAGATAATTCCTCATTAAGCATTTTATCTCAAAAAAAGTATACAAAGAATCATACAAAGATGTTTATTAGAATGTGCTTTATAATGTTATGTAAATGTTACCTGAAATAAATATCCAAAGGTAGGAGAATGGTTAAGAAAATCATGAGATAATAATATAAAATCATATTTTCTTTCATTCCTTTAATTTGGAACTCATTCATAGCTGACCCTCTAGTGAGTTTTCAAAGGCTGAAAAGCAAAGGGAGGAGATTTCCCAGTTTTACTCCCAAGGAGCATCTGGTAGACTTGAGCCGTGGGCCTTTGGGTTGACAGTGCATTTCTTTTCCCACTAGATCCCAAGATAGTTTACAACTTTAAAAATGATGCATTCAAATAACTTTTGGTAACTTTAGGAAAATGCTCATATTGTGTTATTCAGTGATAATAGCATGCATTAAACATATATACTAATATAGGGTTTTGTCTCTATATAATTGGGAGGCAAATTGAAGATCATACACAAAATTTTTCCCTGTGATATGAAATCAATGAATGCTAGGTATCTGTGTCTCCATATAAAAAAACAATAAAGTATGGTATTTGAAAAATATATAAATGTAAAAACTTATTCTCACATTTATGTATATATAGTTGTGCTATATAAAAGGATTTTTTTTAATTTTTTCTAAAATAATGAAGGATTTTAATTTGTACAATAAAACTTACAAAACCCCAAACCTCTGTAAGGCAGAAACCTCTTAGAGAAGGAAAATACAAAGTGCTTTTTCAAATATTAAATACTTACCCACTTATTTTAAAAAATTTGTGTGTGTGTGTGTGTGTACCGTCAAATTAGATCTGACTGGTGCAGGAAGAGATTGTCCCTCCTTCTTCAACAAAGCATCTCCACTCTTTTTTTTTTTTTTCAGTTCTCAATTTAAGCTATACTTTAGTTAATTTCTTTTTTTTTTTAACTGGGTCTGTAATGTTCCTTCTTTCATTTTTGGCTTTTTTTTTTAGTTTATTTCTAACAGACATAAAACATTTTGTTTAGCTGTGCTAATTAAGTTCGAAATAATTTCTTAAGACAAAACAAATCTTAAAATCTTAGATTCACCATATATTAACATACTAATTTCCATTTCAGAATTCTAGTTTGTAAATGTTTTGAGTTGCACATGTTCTGAGAATTCTTTAATTATCAGAAGCTGCATTTATTAATTCAGTAAATGTCTAAGTACTATGTATACTATATAATCCCTTACCATTTTGCTGAACTTTTATACCTTCTCTGAGTTAAATAAAAGCTTGATCTTAAGAAATCCTGTCCAATAACAGACTTCAAAGAGAAATAATTAGCTGATAATAACTGATCTTATTTAGTTAGCAATGTTTAGATAATTTTAAAAAATTTAGCAAGAGGATATATATATATATAAAATACAATTTGAGACATGTTAAAGTTAAGGAATTTGTCACTTTTGCATATGGTCATTTCAGTAGGTAATGAGTTAGTAGATTTAGAGCTCAAAACAAATGTAATCCATTGCTGCAGATTTAGAAGTTACTAGTGGATAGGAAGAGTCCTGTTGTTGGGTGCCATTGAATTGACTATGACTCATAGCAGCCCTGTGAACAATTGGTTGAACCCACTGTAAGAGTCCCTATTAGAGCATACTGTTACACACTTGGATGTTAATCAAAAAGTTGGAGGTTCAGATCTACTTAGAGACATCTTGGAGAAAGACTTAATGATCTTCAAAAAATTTGACCATTTCAAAATGTATGGAGCACAGTTTGTTCCAATAAAGAGATGATAGCCATAAGGCAAAGTCATCTCAAACAGTAGCTGGTTTTGTGTACAGACGGTAACCAAAATTACAGGAGTTGCTTTCTGCCATTGCCTGAATAAGCAACTTCTGTATTTTTATACAATAAGAAAATGATTGAACTCAGCCTCTATAAACAATCAAATCAATTCTGATACATAATGGCCTCCATAGGACTGAGTAGAACTGTTCATAGGGTTTCCAAGGTGATAAACTTTTTATGAAAGCAGACTAACTTATCTTTATCCCACAGAACAGGTCAAACCACCATCCTTATGGTTAGTAGCCATGCACTCTGTGTAATAGAATATTATTGTTGATATTGATGTTGTTTTTAGGTGCTGGCAAGTCGAGTATGACTCATAGCAACACTATGAACAAAAGATCTGAACCCTGTTCTATCCTGCTCCATCCTCACACTTCCTAACACTCAAAAGCCCATTACAGCAGTTACTGTGTCAATCCACATGGTTGACAATCTTCCTCTCCTTCGCCACCCCTCTACCCTTTCCAACTTCATGTCCTTTTCCAAAGAAAAACCCGTCCTAGCAACATTCCAAAGGATGTGTGGTGGAGCCTCATCATTCTTGCCTCCAGAGAGCACTCCAGCTGCACCTTCTCCAAGATGTTATCTGTCTGTTCTCTTGGCTGTCCATGGGATGTTGAGTGCTCTTCTCCAACACCACAGCTCAAAGGCATCAAATCTTTTCCTGTCATCCTTATTCATTGTCCAGCTGTCAGATGCATAACAAGTATCAGAAAGACTATGGCCTGAATCAGATGCATCTTAGTTCTCAAACAGAAATCATTACTCCTCAATCATTTGGAGAGGTCCCTAATTGCAGATATAGTATACTAGAATTCTTAGTGATTTATATGCCTAAAAAGATCTGCTTGAATTTTTGAAAAAATTATCATAATAGAAATAGTGGCTTCAAAAGAAGCAATCCTGATTTATACTCTTTTACTATTCCTTGTTTTTTAAAAATTCCTTATTGTAGCAATTAAAAGGAAATCTATTGCCTTTTTAGAATTTTCTACATTTCATTGTATGCTTTATACAGAACTCAACTTTCATCATCATTTTAGGTGAATATTTAAAATTAATGAACTAATTTAATATCACCATGAGAAAACTTTATTTCACATACTTCAAGTATGTTGCCAGGAGGTACCGGTTCTTGGAAAAAAGGTGGAGCATCAGAGAAAACACGGAAGGCCCTTGACAAGATGGATTGAAGCAGTGACTATAACAATAGGTTTGAGCATAATATCTCAGATTGTGAGGATGGCAAAAGGTTCAGATCTGTTGTTCATAGCAATCTGTGAGTCATAGATGACTCAGTGCCACCTAACAACAATAATGAGAAAACTCATTATAGTTTATTATAATTGTTTTCCCTCACTAAGATATGAATGAGATATTCTTATTAAGCTTTGTGTTTCTGTACTGTAGAACCTAACATTTAAATATATTTAAAAATAGTGAAAGGGGAAATAAAATAGTAAAAGAATCATTTGGGGCAAAGGGAGAAAGTTTTGACAGCTCTATAAAAGTATTACCAAAAGCAAAATACACCCAAGAGCCTAAGAGTGAAATAGGATATATTTTTTTAAAGTATCTCATTTCTTTCAGAAAAACTCTAGATATTTAAGTACTTTATGTAACTGATTGAAGGAAAAATTTATAATATTTCATTACTTTTCAAAATATTATTTTATAATTTTTTATGCATGTTTTTGATTACTTGTAATCACAAGTCATAGCAGCCCCATATGACCTCCTATTTGTGTTTACACTTTCTATTATTTTAGTGTATTTTTCAATTCATCATGCTCTTGGATCCCACCATGGCATTTTGGATTACAGTTACTATTATTTCAGCAGTAAAGTATTTGAGATATTAAAATAATGTTATTGAAAATTTCTACAATAGTTATCAGAGAGAACAATTGATCATTTTGTATACATGCATTTATATATATATATATATATACTTTTGCATTTGTATATAGTTTGTATTACGTATTTTCATTTGCGTATTTATGTATTTTAATGTACATTTGTACATATACATGTGTATTTTTTAAACTATAGTAAAACTCTCATTAAAATACTACATTTAGGCATGTTACAATAAATCAGGAGATAATGAAGTTTACTTTTTTGTCATTTCAGAAATTAGAAAATCCTGATGAACTGGCAGAACTTATAAATATGAATCTTGCACAACTTTGCTCACTTCTAATGGCTTTATGGGGACAGTTTCTGGAAATTATAACACTTCATGAAGAATTAAGAATATTATTAGCTCAAGAGCATCATACTTTGAGGGTAAGTTAAAGAAAAATGATGTTATCATTTATCTTTAAAATTTTCTTATGAATAACAATCCTAACTGTTATCCAGTCTTTTTGATAAATGAGAAAGGAGACAATTAAAATTAAGCGCTTGTTTGATTTCTGAAATTAATAGCACAACACTGTATTCAACCTCTGGTTTGTTTACGTCAAACCCCTTGCTAGCAAGAAAATCTTTATTTGTAAATAAAATAGAAGGCTACTTAATTCTGAATAGCCCATGTAACCTAAGAACCAGAATTACAAGTTGTCTTCATTAGAGACAGGAATCAGAAATTTGTGAACTATCTCTGCAACAATGAATGAATGGAAACCCAAAATCTCTGTAAATGTTTATGAAAATTAATAAAATATAATTATAGAAAAAAAAGATTAGGCTTAAGAGATAAAGGAGAGGTAGGTCTTACCTGTAGGGAAATAACCTGGGTTTGTTTGGGGGTTTTTGTTGTGGTGGTAGTTTATTTTCACCTTTAATGTTGGAGTCTACTAACTCTCTAAACTCAGCAAACTCAATAAACTCTATAAATTTATAAAACAAAAAAAAAGAAAGAAATTTGTGAACTATCTCGAGTTAACATACTCTCTCTCTTCTCCCCTTCGTTCTTACCATCCACATAGAAATGTGTACTATGAATTTAGCAGTAGGAGGGAAGTAGTCTAGACATCCATATTTACCATAAGCTTAGTGTACACATTATGCAGAATATTTTGTACATCTCTTGAGGCTTGAAATGTTAAGTGTCTTACTAGCTTTCCAGTCTTATTCTCTTGCATACTCTACATGCATAGTTTGTTTACTGACCTACTTGGAGTTTCATAAAAACATAAAGCTTATATTCTTTTTCTTTTTCTTTTTTTTCCCTTACCCGTGCAATTAAAATCTGAAAAGGACATAAAATAAGCACATTTTAATATAAGTTAAAAGTGCAAATCTTTTTAACTATTATTCAAATTAAAAATCCTTTCCGGTTACTATGCCATCCCTGGTATTCAGAAATAATCATTATTCTGCCTTTTGTGGTAACGTGTTGTTTCTTGTCATTTTGGTTTCACCTCCTTTGTGTGCATACTAAGTAATAAAGATGGTTTTAGCATTTAATGCTCTGTATTCCTTATATCTTGCTTCTTTTCCTCAAGAGTTTTGAGGAGATTAATCCATGCTTTTGCTAGTGGTTGTACAATGTTCATTTTTGTTGCTGTGATATGTTCTATTTTAATATACTCATACTTTTGTTGATGGATATTTGAATTTCTGTGTTTTAGATATGACTAATTAAGCTACTGTGAAAAATTAAGCATGTACAAATTAAGCATTCCTGTACATGATAGATCAGTTTCTCTAAAATTTTTACCTTTGAGAGATCTTATTGGCTCATAGGTTATACATAACCATTTTACTACGTAAAACCATAGTTTTCCAGACTAGTATCACTTCTAACAGTAGTTTATAAGAGTTTTTGTTGATCCTGCATACTCTTTTAACTCTTGGTATTGTCAGACATTAATTTTTGTCAATTTGTAGTGTGTGAGGTTATGTATAATTATAATGTTAACTCTTATTATTGCATGAGACATCTAAAATCAGCTTTCTTTTGCCTAGTATTTGAATTTATATTTTAAGATTATTTGTAAGTAACATGTTGTAGTGGAATTTTTTTAAAAGGTAATTGGACAATCTTTGTCATATCATGGGTATGAGAGATACATATACCTAGGAGATAGTACAGGTTTGGCTCCAGAGCACCACAGTAAAACTAGTCATGTGAGTTTTTGGTTTTCATTACATACAGAATTTAGGTTTACACTGTACTGTACTCTATTGAGTGTGCAGTGGCAGTATGAAAAAATTTGAATCGTCAAAATGTGGCAGCACAGAGACATGAAATGAACATATGCAGTTAGAAACATGCTAATGAACTATGATTGCCAGATTTTCAATCTGAGAAAACACATACAAAGAAAAATTAAACAAAATAGGAGCAGTATAAA